TTGTTTAAAAACAGGTACACGTGTTACCATGTTCGTTCTTGAACAGATAATAGCATGGGATGTGTTCTTTATCAGCCTTGCCAACTCCATCTAGTTCTGCACATTTTTAGTATCAAGGATTGATCTGTAATTTTGAACAATGGGTTGTTTTAACAGCATTGTCCATCACTGGTCCTTAATGAGTTAAGGGATTTGTTTGACTTATTTTATTAAAGCATATATACTGCGCGGTATAGTAGCTTACCCAGTTAATGAGGAAATCACAGATTATGGACACATTCCTCCTGTCTTATACATAACTTAAAATAGTTTTAACAACTGTCATTGTTGGAGATGCAAAAATGGAAGTACTTTGTAATTAAAGGGCAACAATTCAATACACAAAATGTTTGTCCTAAAAAAAAAAAAATATATATTTTTGTTCGGTATTTACAGATGAAAGTGAAGGAAAGGGACCTCAGTTAGGAAAAAAGATAAATGAGTAATTTATTACACGTGAGTTTACAGAGGAAGAGGTTCTATTTCAACTGTCAAAAGTAAAGACAAATAAGTCAATGGGACCTGATGGAATACACCCAAAGCTATTAAAAGAGCTTAGTGGTGTACTAGCAAAACCATTAACAGATTTATTTAACCAATCATTGTTAACAGGAGTAGTTCCATAAGAGTGGAAGTTAGCAAATGTTTTGACACTGTTGCACATAGAAGGCTGATCAATAAACTGCAATCTTTAAGTTTGAATTCCAATATTGTTGAATGGGTAAGGCAGTGGCTGAGTGACAGGCAACAGAGGGTTGTAGTTAATGGAATATATTCGAAGCTTGGACTTTTCACCAGTGGGGTACCTCAGGGATCTGTACTTGGACCCATTCTCTTTAATATTTGTATTAGTGATATTGCAGAAGGTCTTGATGGTAAGGTATGTCTTTTGCTGATGATACTAAGATATGTAACAGGGTTGATGTTCCAGGAGGGATAAGCCAAATGGCAAATGATTTAGGTAAACTAGAAACATGGTCAGAGTTGTGGCAACTGACATTTAATGTGGATAAGTGCAAGATAATGCATCTTGGACGTAAAAACCCAAGGGCAGAGTACAGAATATTTGATAGAGTCCTAACCTCAACATATGAGGAAAGGGATTTAGGGGTGATTATATCTGATGACTTAAAGGTAGGCAGACAATGTAATAGAGCAGCAGGAAATGCTAGCAGAATGCTTGGTTGTATAGGGAGAGGTATTAGCAGTAGAAAGAGGGAAGTGCTCATGCCATTGTACAGAACACTGGTGAGACCTCACTTGGAGTATTGTACACAGTACTGGAGACCGTATCTTCAGAAGGATATTGATACCTTAGAGAGGGTTCAGAGAAGGGCTACTAAACTGGTTCATGGATTGCGGGATAAAACTTACCAGGAAAGGTTAAAAGATCTTAACATGTATAGCTTGGAGGAAAGACGAGACAGGGGGGATATGATAGAAACATTTAAATATATAAAGGGAATCAACACAGTAAAGGAGGAGACTGTATTTAAAAGAAGAAAAACTACCACAACTAGAGGACATAGTCTTAAATTAGAGGGACAAAGGTTTAAAAATAATATCAGGAAGTATTACTTTACTGAGAGGGTAGTGGATGCATGGAATAGCCTTCCAGCTGAAGTGGTAGAGGTTAACACAGTAAAGGAGTTTAAGCATGCGTGGGATAGGCATAAGGCTATCCTAACTATAAGATAAGGCCATGGACTAATGAAAGTATTTAGAAAATTGGACAGACTAGATGAGCCGAATGGTTCTTATCTGTCATCACATTCTATGTTTCTATGTTTCTGCCCATTCATCTTGGCAATATGCCTCCAGGTCATGCAAAGTCTTTGATCAACTTGCATTAACCGCATGTTTGAGATCTCCCCAAAGTGGTTCAATAATGCTCCAATAGTTAACATATGTATCTCTGCTGTTCAGTCCTCGTAGCTAAAAGAAACAGTGTAATACTCCAAGACTCTTTCTCCCCCCCAGCAACTAGACGACACATAGTTCTGGGAGTCAACTGATTTTATTTTGGCTACACACGGCTTTTATGCACAGACCCCTATATGGGGTCTCTGATACAAAAATACAGGGCTTTTCTTCCCAAGATCCTCTGCCTGAGAGATAATTGTGTAAGTAAAATCATTAACTCAATTATCTTTCATATCTTGCCAATATCACCTCCTTCAATACATGTATTGTAGTCCGCACACAAGGGAAAACCCCCATGGTCCATAGGAAAAATAGGAATAAATTATACGGAAAGTAAGAAAAAAGTGCACATTTATTGTTATAAAAAAACAAGATTGTATGGCATTAAATAGTCATGGCAGCTGTTATATATACTGAATGTTTAAGCAGGCATGGTATATTACAGTGATGGCGAACCTTTTTGAGCCCGAGTGCCCAAACCGCAATACATGCCAACATTTTTTCTCCTTAAAGTGCCAACACGGCAATTAAACCCAAATACTGAGGTTTACGTTTAGAAAAAAACAACTCGTACTGTTGTCCGAACTAATAACTTTTGTTTTAAAAGAACACAGTTCAATGATACAAATTTTAAATAATTATATAAATAGATAAAATTAAGCTTATATTTAGTAGTATCTCCAACAAATGCAATACATACACAGTCTGCTGAATACACACACACAAGACTGCTGAATACAGACTGATGAATACACATACAGACAGACTGCTGAGTACACACACACAGACTGCTGAGTACACACACACAGACTGCTGAGTACACACACACACACAGATTGCTGAATACACACACACACACACACAGATTGCTGAATACACACACACAGACTGCTGAATACACACACACACACAGACTGCTGAGTACACACACACTGCTGAGTACACACACACAGACTGCTGAATACACAGCGTGAGTGAGTGGTGCTGTGTGTGTGTGTGGGGGTGGTGCTGTGTGTGTGTGCTATATGTGTAAGGGTGCTGCGGGGGGGTAGGGGTACTGCTGGGAGGGTAGGGGTACTGTGTGTGGGGGGTAGGGGTGCCTGTATGTGAGGGTAGGGAGTACACTGTGTGTGGGGGGTAGAATTTACTGTGTGTGGGGGGTAGAGGTATTTACTGCTGGGGGAGGGTTGGGGTACTTTGTGTGTAGGAGGGTAGGGTACTGCTGGGAGGGAGGTTGGGGAGGTACTGTGTAGGAGGTAGGAGGTACTGTGTGTAGGGAGTAGGGGTATTTTTCACCCTGGGGGTAGGGGGTGCACTGTGTGCTTAGGGGTAAGGAGCATTTTGCTGTAGAGGGTAGGAGAAAGTACACACATAGGGGTAGGAGTACTGTGTGTGGGGGTAGAATTACTGCACTGTAGGGTGTAGGAGTACTGCTGTAGAGTGGGAATTACTGTGTGTGGCTGGGGGTAGGAGGCCACTGCTGTAGAGGGGTAGGAGTACTGTGTGTGTGGGGAATGAGGGGCCTGCTGTGTAGGGGGTAGGAGTACACAACATGTGGGGGTGGGGTGCTGGGGGTAGAGGGGTACTGCTGGGAGGGGTGTTAGGGGTTGCACTGGGAGGGAGGGTAGGGTTACTGCTGGGGGAGGGGGTAGGGTTACTGCTGGGGGAGGTAGAGGGTTACCTGCTGGGGGAGGGTAGGGTTACTGCTGGGGAGGTAGGGTTACTGCTGGGGGAGGGTAGGGTTACTGCTGGGGAGGGTAGGGGTTACTGCTGGGGGAGGGTAGGGTTACTGCTGGGGAGGGTAGGGTTACTGCTGGGGAGGGTAGGGGTTACTGCTGGGGGGGTAGGGGTTACCTTTAATGAAGTAGGGAGGGGGACACACAGCCATCCCTGGTGGTCCGGTGGTGGTAAGCACTGCAGGGAGGCTGGAAGGCAGCCTCACTGTCCTCCCAGCCTTGTTGATACTGTGTGGGTGTTGCCATGGTAGCAGCAGCAGCTCCACACACAGCATCCCAGCCTTGAAGACTAATTCTGACTTACACACACACAGGCTACTGAGTACAAAACACACTGCACGAGTACACACCTGAACTGCTAGGCCACAAAAGCGTGAGTGAGTAGTGCTGTGTGTGTGTGTGGCCAGAGGTAGTGCTGTGTATTGTGTACTATATGTGTAAAAACTGCTACTTGAAGTAGGAGTACTGCTGGGAGGTAGGGTACTGTGTGTGGGGGGTAGGGGTACTGTGTGTGGCCAAGGGTGGGTAGGGTACACTGTGTGTGTGTGGGGGTAGGGGGTACTGTGTGTGGGGGTAGGGGTACTGCTGGGAGGTTGGGTACTGTGTGTGGCTGGGGGTGGGGGGTACTGCTGGGGTGGGGGGGTACTGTGTGTGGGGAGTAGAGGGGTTTTCACTAGGGGGTGGGGGTACTGTGTGTGGGGGGTGGGAGTACTGCTGTGGGGGTGGGAATTACTGCTGTAGGGGGGTGGAATTACTGTGTGTGGAGGTGGGAGTACTGCTGTGGGGTGTGAGGTACTGCTGTGGGGGGATGGGAGTGCCACTGTGTGTGGGGGTGGGAGTACTGCTTTCTGTGGGGAATTAGGAGTGCACTGTGTGTGTGGGGGGGTAGGGGTGCTGCTGTGGGGGGTGGGAGTGCTGCTGTGGGGGTAGGGTGCGTATTGGGGTGGGGGTACTGCTGGGGGGTGGGGGTACTGCTGTGGAGGGTGGGGTTACTGCTGGGGAGGGGTAGGGTTACTGCTGGGGGAGGGGTGGGGGTTACTGCTGGGAGGTGGGGTTACACTGCTGGGGGTAGGTTGCTGCTGGGAGGGTTAGGGTTACTGCTGGGGGAGGGTAGGGTTACTGCTGGGGAGGGTAGGGGTTACTGCTGGGGGAGGGTAGGGTTACTGCTGGGGAGGGTAGGGTTACTGCTGGGGAGGGTAGGGGTTACTGCTGGGGGGGTAGGGGTTACCTTTAATGAAGTAGGGAGGGGGACACACAGCCATCCCTGGTGGTCCGGTGGTGGTAAGCACTGCAGGGGGAGGGCTCCAGGAAGCAGCTCCCCTGTCCTCCCGCGCGATGCTGTGTGGAGTGTTGCCATGGTAACGCGCAGCAACGCTCCACACAGCATCGCGCGGGAGGACAGGGGAGCTGCTTCCTGGAGCCCTCCCCCTGCCTCCCGACGCGGAAGCAGAGTAGGCGCCTGCCGTTTCGGGCAGGCGCCTACTCTGCAGTGATGGCGAACCTGTGGCCGCGTGCCACCAGGAAGGGCCCGGCGTGCCACCTGTGGCACGCGTGCCATAGGTTCGCCATCACTGGTATATTATACAGACGACATGTTGTTTCCAAAAAAGATACAAGTGTCCGGGCAAGAGAAACAAACTTTGCAAAAATTGGAACAGTTGGTAAAATAAATAAATTGTTGCAATACCTGCTACTGCCAGACAAGGGAGAGACCACCTACTCCACTATCCAAAAAAAAAAGATTGTGTGAGTACCCTGGACGCGTTTCGCACCTCCCTGGTGCTTTGTCCACATCACCCGGGCATAACCCGTGATTTATTCATCTGATACGGCTAGGTAGGGTTCTGCTGCTCTGCCCAAAAGCTTACCAGCCTGGATTCACACCCAATTTGCTGGGGGCACTTGATACAATCGGCACAGGACTAGAACTCCGCTACAGTATTTTATAGCTAAGCATTACATAATGTATTATTTAAAGTACAATATTGGAGTTTGTTTTGTTTTTCATTTAATTCCAGCAGTAAATGATCTGCTTACAGTCCTCAGACTCTGATTCTACATTTTGTTCCCAATAAGTAGGAGATATGTGAATATTTTCAGGATTTCCGTCACTCCATAGATGTGTGGGATGATACACATTTCAACACTTCCAGGAGGATTTCATAAAAAGCTTGATGTCTTAAAGTATCTAAGATTCATTCACCGATTGTCTTCATGATGAAAGGAATTTCACAGCATAATCTCGACATCTTGCAAAGAAACCATGTCAGATAAATCATCACCAAAACTATTACAACGTTGCAAAACAATGAAACGAGAAATGCAGAACACGGCAGCTGATATTTGAAATATTTCTATTTTAAGCAAAGTTCCATCATAATGCACATTCCACATTGCACAATATAAATCAATCAAAAAAACTGAAAAATCAAATAATGCAAATAAAGAACACTAGGAGTGATTGCAAGACAATGTTTTGGTAAAATTATAAAATAAAATATTAAAGATATAGGGGGCACGTTCTGTCCATCCACAACAGAAAACGTAGTCAGTAATCTGAACAGCACGTGGGAAAAGAGCTGCAGGAATCGATTTTTGTCTAAGACATAGAAGGAGTGATTTACTCAACTAGCCAGAAAATCAGCCAAATCAGTTTGTTTGAAAATAATATTTCGTTTGGATAGTCCAGTTGTTCATATGGTGCTGCAACTCCTCCCAGTATCGTCCATCAAAATATCCAGGAAACTACTCAGATGAACCAAAAGGGTGCGAAACTGGGGCAATCAGTGTGCTGCAAAAGATATACATAATATAAATATTATAATACCATAGGTAAGATAGCACTAACTTCTTAATAAAAATATAGAAATCTGTAAATCAGTATGTATCCATAAACTCCAAAGAAAATCGGCACTCTGCAGTACTCGTTGTAAAAATGTGAATTCTGTATTAATTCCATTTCCACCAACAACAGAAAAGTCAACAATTTGACTCTCATAGGGTCCTTTCTCAATGTAGAATTTGTACGACACTAAAAGGAGCATTGTCCCACCTTTTGGCTCACAGATCACACAGATCAACTGAGAAAAAGTAACCACTAGGGCCAATAACAGCAGCAATAAGTAGACATGTAGTTTGGTTCTTCCTTTTCTCTGTGTCGGTCACTTCTTACTTAATCGGTTAATAAAATCATCATTTAGTGGCCATCAGTTATATTTTTTCCATCAATAATCTCTTGTGCCACAGACGGAACTCCAAATCACAAATCATGCGAACATGCTCGTCCATTGCTCATGTTGTTAGTTCCGTTAGACGTCAGTAAGGCAGTTTGCAATGTGGCCAAATATGAAGGCAGAAGTCTAGTATTTACTAATCAGCTGCTAAATTGAAAATAATAGCAAAAAAGTGAAAACATTTTTGGCAGAAAATCCCCATATTGAATATTCCATCTAATTTTCCATACGTAAAATAAACATAAGGAATAAAAATTCATTAAAGTGAAAACCAGTGAATAAAGTGCACACGGTAAATAATAGCACAAATTGTCTAATGTCTAATCCACAACATCCTCCATTGTAACGCAGTCCACGTTATTCTCCATTGTAACGCAGTCCACGTTATTCTCCATTGTAACTCAGTCCACGTTATTCTCCATTGTAACGCAGTCCCCGTTATTCTCCATTTTAAGCTGTCCATGTTATTCTCCATTGTAACACAGTCCACGTTATTCTCCATTGTAACGCAGTCCCCGTTATTCTCCATTGTAACGCAGTCCCCGTTATTCTCCATTGTAACGCAGTCCACGTTATTCTCCATTGTAAGCTGTCCACGTTATTCTCCATTGTAACGCAGTCCACGTTATTCTCCATTGTAACGCAGTCCACGTTATTCTCCATTGTAACACAGTCCACGTTATTCTCCATTGTAATGAAGCCCATGTCATCCTAAATTATAATGCAGTCCATGTCATCCTCCATTGTAATGCAGCCCACGTCATCCTCCATTGTATCACAGTCTGTGGCGAAGCTGCAATACTGAGAATGAATATCTCTGCTGGAATCCTCTGGAGCTGGAAGGAAAGCGATGTTCATTGATTATAGCCCATTCCCCCAGTAACTGGACGACACACAGTTCTGGGAGTTTGATTGTTATCATTCACACACGGCTTTTTATGCCCAGCCCCATAGTATGGGGTCTCCATATTAAGTTTATGTCACGTATTCATCCGCTTATAAAAATTTGGTTAATGACATTTACTGTCCACACAGGAAAAGTTGTGCCGAGCAGCAACCTAATCCACAGAAGGGTTAATGCAGAGCAGCAATTATGAAAATGGGAACCTGGTAACTGCCTTTGGGGTCAAAGGCCAGTTACAGCCTATGAGATCTAGAGGAGAGGTATTTAGGCCCAGTTCTCATCCTGTTCAGTGCCCTGTCGTGGTTTCCCTTGTGGTTGTCCGAGAGCATGTTATTGATTCTGGTTATTCTGGTTATTTGACTTTGGCTTTGGCATTGTTTTTGACTTCCCTGTTTTCTGGCATCCCTGACTCCTGGTTTTTCCTTATCGTTGTGTCTCTTTCTGTTGACCTCGGCTATTCCTGACTATTCTTTGGTAGGTTAGTCCGGCCATTCTTAGGTCCGGTATACGTTACCTATCTGTCCTCTGTGTTACACAGTTCTACGTGCTGGATCAAACTGTAATCCTGACAGTTTACAGGGAATTTACCCAAGATGCTCTTTGTCTGAGAAATAATTGAGCTGTGAATTTAGATAACTCAATTATCTCTCAGTTACATGAAATACATAAAATATTATAAAACATCACAAAAACATAATAAAACAGTACACGAACCCCACAATTCTTATATTGCCGAATATCCTGAATCTGAGCACACAACATATCAGAAAAGCGGCTCATATTGGTTCATATTGGTTCAGTGAGACGATTTCGCCAGCAGGCCAAAAGAGTTCCAGAGAATCCAAGGCAGTGGCCGGGCTTGGTTCGGTAGTTCCTGCTCGAACATCGATGAACGCTCCCCCTGCCTCTTAAGTAGTGAATGCTCCCCCCAGTTGGTAGATCATATCTCCCGAATGTGGTTTGTGTAGTTGATCGGGAAAGTATACAGGCATTTTGACCGGGGTTCACGAGAAGGTGTAGCTGAAATTGGTTAGACGCATTCAATGACCAAGTACTGCTGCATGTGTTTGGGAGACAAAATGGACACCATGTGCATTCGGTTATACAAACAGCGGCCACCCAGGGAAAGCACTCAAGTACTCTTTAGATGCGATTAACAGCCAGGGATGGTCGGGGTTCTAAGTCAATAACAGGGGGGACTGTGACAAAACCCCTTCAAAGAAATCACAAACTTAAGTACTCTCTGTGTGGCTGCCGTTCGTATAAACGGACAACATGTGCACTGGAAAACGGCGGACATCTTGTCTCCTGAAAGCAGGCAGCGGTATCTGGTCATCGAGTGTCTGAAACTCTAATGTGGACACTCAACCCCGCGAACACCTGTGATTTGCTACGAACACCTGCTTCTTTCCACGACAAACCAAGAGAGCGCTGTTCGGTAGGATTGTTCACACGAACAAGGCGAACAATCGCTACATATGAGTCAAGGGAACCGTTCGGTATTTCTTTCGTTTTGGGACCCCCGAAAGTACCAAAAAATATGGTCAATATATGTTTTATATTGTTTACCTCTAGTGCCTGGGAGATAATTAGTACACTTAATTATCTCCCAGACACAGAGACTCCTGGGCATGTTGTGGGAGTATTTTGGGCATGTTTTATGATGTCTTTGCTTGAGACCCTATGTGTATATAAGCGGGCCAGTTGGCCAAAATAAAACATTCCTGTTGTACCGTTCATCAATTCTCGTCTGATGTTTGGGTATGTAAATGGCGAACCAATTGATTTTTCTGTACTGTGACAAACTCCTCTTCCCACATTAGTTTGCCACGAGCTCCTGCCTATAGACTATGGGCCCTGCAGGGAAAGCTGTAAAAGACTGTTTAAATGGCTTGTTTTGTGTAATTTCCCTATACCGTTACCGGAAACCGAACAACCACACGAACCAAGGACCACCAGGGAGCTTGTTAACCCATATTAACACCATGGAATGGTTCTCACGTCGGTGTTCTAATTGTTCGTCTAGGTGGCCGCAATTCGAATGAACGACCACGAGGTGGCGGCCATCTTGTTCGCATGAACGCAGGAAGCGGTGTTTGGTCGTCGAGTTCATGGAACTAAAATCGGACTGTCAGGATCCTATCCTGACAACTCAAGTCATGTTTCATTTCTTCTGGTTTATTTTATTTCAGTTCCTGTTTGCAGCCACTAGTCTAACCAAGTTATTCTCACCTGCATAGCATGATGATACAAATCTGCTATAAGAGGTCACACCCTACTTAC